GGTTGTGCCAACCATTTAGATGACATGGCTTTCTCTTATAACCATTATTACCATCTTCAGCCTCTCTGGGTTTGGCATCTGTTGCTTGTCAAATGTATACGGAGTAGCTGCTTGTGACTAGGCATGCACAAATTTTCGCCATTACCATTTAATCAAAGACTAGTTAAGATTGACCTAAGAAGGAACATTTTTCTATTTAAAACAGAGGAATTGTGGAATTATTGAGCGTTTTCAGCACAAATTTTCAATGAATGATTCGTTCATCGATTGGCAGACAATTCTCAAAGCTGTATCATATGAAAGATTTAGCAAGTTAACCTCAATGAAGAGCTCAACTAAATTCTGGGGATGGATTAAACTAACTGCCTATAAAACAATTAATATCTAACAGCTAAATTTACAAGCTTTGACCGAAGTAAATGGGATCAATCATTAGATTTTGATGGAAGAATAAAAGAATAATGATAGTGAAGACCAAAATCTAAAACAAATTTATGGTGACCATTGATTGTAGTATGGGACTCATATGGATTCATGTAATCTATAATTGAAAAAATTTCACCCAAAATTTTGATTCCAATAATCATTACCTAGAAGGAAATACACTCCTAAAATTTGATTCCAATAATCATTAGATAGAAGGAAATACACTGAAAGAAAATAGAAGAATTGTGACATTATTGAGTAAATTTGCATTTATATCCAGTGTTATTTCCATTGCTGAGTAATTTGACATTCCACGGTAACAAGTTATTACTTGAAATGAGATTTACTTCACTGGAGAATGGAATAAACCAAAAGAAATGTGAACATAACAATTGCCCCAGCAAGAGTAAACTCTTGACAGGTCCACAACATTAGGTTTGACCTTTCTGTTCTCTTGATGGGATCAACCACCTCAAATAATGGACAATTTGAGTGCCTTAGATTCCGCATTGCCGCTTACATATTTCTGTGGGAAGAACTGTGAGAAGAAAAAATTGTTGCCTGCTTCCTGAAGTATGGACATGCCTTCTCAGTTACCTCAGCCTGTTGAAAATTTATCACGTAAGACACGTACAGGAGCAGTAACCAGAAATTTTCTTTTAGGGGGGCCAACTGAAATTTTGAAAAAAAAAAAACCATTCACCTTTGCATTAATTAAAAAGTCAAGAAAAAGGATAATATTAATAAAAAAATTATTTTAAACTAAGATTTTTTAGTTTTTACTAATAAATTAATATTAATTAATAGTATAGTATTATAAATGTGATAGCAACCGCAAGATAAAATAAACATATATAGAATAAAAGAACACTAATAAACCAAAAAACAAAAGTAGAAGGTTATTAACTAACAAAACGAGAGTATTAATAAACAACTACTTTATAAAAAAGATAATATTGAATAATTTTATATTCAATTAATCTTTACTTTTTATCATATTTTATTTTATCTTTATTTTCCTCATTTTTCTCATAATCAGTAAAACCAATCTTTGAAAAAACAGGGGTTAACAATAATTAAAATGTACGAAATAAACAAAGATTGAAATAATAAAAATAGAACTTAAACAACCAAAATTTTTATTTCTAAAAGATTGGGGGGCCTATGCCCCTTCAAGCCCCCCTTATCATCTCCGCCAGTGTACACAAGCAATTGTCATGAGGGTTCTAATAACAGTATGATGTAGTTGAATCGCAAGAAAGTAGACTGAAATAAACTCTTAAAAGCCATTCTTCTAATAAAGTTTCTCTATGACGCACGAAAGTGCAAAATTTATTTTCTTCTTGGAAAGAAGTGATCTATACATCATATAAACATATTCAAAAATACATAAAGCAAATTAGCATCAGATCAGGCAAAATATTTTATGCATATATGTAGAAGGTGTATGTTATGGATGCATCTAGAAATCAATGTACTTACTCCCACATGGACAAATATGTGATAAATGGCAATGAGGTGAAACAAAATATGGAACTTGTGATGACTCTTTATAGAAGCAAGGCAAAAGGTCTAGACGGGAAGGCTATACACTACAGGATGCTAGCAAAATTTTCAACATTCTCCCACTAAGACCAGGTGCATTTTCTTAAGCCACCACATAAACACAGCATAAATTTCTTTAAATTGAAGGGAATCCTCATTTTTATGTTTATTGATTGTCACTTCTTTTTTTTTTTTTTGGGGGATAAAATGTAAATCTTTATTTATTCTGAAAAATACTAGAGTACATCAGGGCAGCAAAAATAACAGATGTTAGTAGCTACACAAACATAATGTAAAAACTAATCCTATCAAAGCTAAACTGATCAAAACAAGCTAACAATTTACAATAAAATCAAGCCCCCATTTCCATGCAATAGCTCAAGGTATAAGAGATAAACCTGGCTTAGCAAATCCTAAGATCTTATCCTTAACTTCATACTGGATGTCTACAAGTACTGCTACCTCACTTTTGAATTGCTTTTAGTGCAATCTTTTGTTTCTTTCCATCCATATATGATAGAAAGCCACATTCCGAGAAAATTTGATTAGAGTACAATGTAACCTTCAGACCTTCCTACCCAATCACGCAAATAAATCTTGCCATGAGTCCATTAGAGGGATATTTGTCATGCGGCTGAGCTCTTGCTAGATGCCCTTTGGCACTTAAAGGACAAGTGTGCATTCGTCTCAGACTCATTTTTGCAGAAAGCACAAGTATCATCCAAACTATATGTCCATTGCTTTTTACAAGCTTTGGTGGTGAGTCTGTTAAGAATAGCCAGCCAACTCATAAAACTGTGCTTAATTAGGGATTGTGTCACTTGTTTTCAGCTACCATTGCATATATGATAGTGAATTTCTACACTCCTATAATCGTAGACCTCCCTCGTGTTGGTTCTACTATCAAAACTAAAAGTCTAAAACTCTATCCAATGTTAAAAGCAATCTTAATTTGCTGCTTTGCAAGTGAACTCCCTACTAAGGCCAACTAAATATATACCCAATTCACCTATTTCTCTAGACCCCAAAGCAAAAATGATTTGGTGCACTACCTGCATTTTCCCCCTTTAATCCACTTGCATACACCAGATCGATGGGAGGGGTGTATGACAATATCAGCTGGATGTATTATTAGTCTCAAGATGAGCCAGTGAAACCTAGCTGAGAACATTGACGTTAAAAAAAAGAAAAAAATCTCATTCAAATACTGTTCAAAATATAAACCAACACCAGACAACAAGACCCATTTGGTACTTAACAGAAACAGAGGATGCTAAAGGTCAAGATCCATGAAATACCGTTGCTTTCCCTGTTCTTCTTAGGTTCTTAATCGAAGTAATCTCTTCTCGAACAGAAAATCTTTACAGCAGATTGAGGATAAGAAGAGATAAACTTGTGGGTCGTTCCCCAAAATCTCCGACATGTTAGCCGCCAATTCGAGCTCGAATATCCGTTTGCATCTCCTGGAGAAGATTCCGTAGATCCTCCGATCTCCCGCGGAACATTCTTTCCTCCCGGCATCTTATCATGTCTGCGTCCTCGAATTCCTCCACGTCATGGGAACACACACCTGTCGCCACATCAAGCACTCATTGATCCACCGGAAAAATCCGGGTTCAACCCGAACCCGGGTCTAGACATAAGTCTGGTGCTCCTAAGTTGTGGAAGATCAAAATGCCACGTGTCGGAAGATTACGGCAAGTGAAAGTGGACGGTGGGACAGATTGGTGATGGGATCTCAGCCGTCGATCTTTCGATGATCAGAGCTAGGAGAATGAGGACCGTTGATCTTGCAATGATTCAGGAAGACGACATTGGTACTGTTGTTGATTTGAGTTAGTGGACGGGAGAGATTCACAGGTCAGCATCACAATCATGATTTCTCAGGTGGGACCCCCTCACTTTCTGGCGTAAACAAACGAAGTGTTGGTTTTCTCGAACATCGGCGGCTGATGTTCGGCGACCAAACGGCTTATCCTCTGTGTCGCGTCCTAAGGAACACCACGTTGGTTGCCAATTAAAATAAACTTTCTTTAAAGACAAAGGTACGGTAGTTGGGTAATTTTTTTTATGTTATATTTCACATCAAGAAGTTCATTGAAGATT